ATATAATGAAACAATATGTATTAATGGTAAATTATAGAAACTCTAATTAATCATGCATATTAGCTTAAATATTTCTCCAAATTACTTGATGAACATTTTCGTGAATATATAACAAAACAAGTGTTAAGTATCATCTTACCAAATTACCACATATTTCTCCAAATTTATAAGCAGTTATAAATTTCACGCCACATTACTGGGTAAACCATTTTGTATGTGTTAAGTATAAGTAATAATATTATTTATTATAACTTGAATAATAATTCATAAGCAAATTTAATAATATCATCTTACCACATATTATTGACTATGACATAGCCTAACTTGCCAATAATGATGGTAATGTGTAGATAATGTCATATTTAGTATATTCATACCACATATCATTGACTGTGGCAGAGCCTAACTTGTCAAGAATAATTGTAATATGTATATTAGTGAAATATAATAACTTTATGTAATACATATACATATATTATTATTATTATTATTATTATTATTATTATTATTATTATTATTATTATTATTATTATTATTATTATTATATACCTACCTTTCTGACTGGGTAGAGCGCTCGTGCTGATAACGTGTTATAAAATGCGAGAAAGATAAAGAACACATTGTAAAAACCGAATATAAATTATAAGATGCTTTTATTTCTCTTTTTCTTCCGTACCAACATTACAATGTCCTTGACCCTTTTATAGGCAAATTGACACACACTTCAATACTCATTTTAATATAATAATACAAATGATAAGGTTTATTAGTGGTAAATTCCACTTATTCATAATAGAATGTAAAAAAAACATCTTGAAATCTCTATGTATGTGTAGGTCAAAAATAGGTCATGGAAGAATCGTGTTTAAAACGTCGGATTAATGGTGCGGATTAAAGAAGTGAAGTAGGTCAATTACATAATGACATTTGTCATGTAATAAGATCAGAAATTCTATGGCACCACATGTGGCACCATATTATGGTGCCACAACATGATGTGACACATTATGATTGGTGCCACAACATGATGTGTGATAGTTGTGTCACCAATCATAATGTGCCACATCATATTGTGACACCATAATATGGTGCCACATGTCATAATGTGCCACATCATGTTGTGGCACCATAATATGGTGCCACATGTGGTGCCATAGAATTTCTGATAATCAGATGCCCAATAGTAATATAAGAAGCTCAAGTGGCTTTAACCTACCTATAAGTGGACTAAAAGAATGTGTGAGATTTAGGATAATAAAAAAATGTGCCGAATAAACAATAGGCTAATTGGTTTTATAGAAAATGAAAGAAAACAGACGAGATATAATAAATTTAGCTAGTCAAGATAATAAACAAGTAAAATAAAAAGCCAAGTCCAATGACGATATCTTGGGTTGTGTTGCTATTAGTAGTAGGGCGTTAGACTCGATCAGCAAAATGTAAAGTGAAAGTAAATGCTTGAGCTCATAATAAGGGGTGGACCGAAAAAAAAAATAGAAATAAAGAAACAATAATAATAATAATAATAATAATAATAATAATAATAATAATAATAATAATAATAATAATAATAATAAGCATCCATTTTTCTAGATGAAATAAGGGATACTAAATATCTTAGGATGATTTCATAAAAGTCATGTATGTATGCGTTTGGTACCCGATAACAATTAGGTATACGAAACACCATCATCGGCGCGCTTTAGTAATTGGTGTCTGATGTTTATTGAATAGGGCCACAGAGAAAAGTTTGGTATATACTGACTTGATAAGAGCATCTTCAATGGAACATTGTCCATTTTGTGTTGAATAATATGAAGAAAGGAAATTAAAAAAAAAAAAATGTGTCTCCAATGGTAAGCATTAATTGTGGTATAACTTGTGATGTGTAAAACTGTAATTAGTTGAAAAAAGAAGATAAATTAAATAAATAATATAGTATATTGTGGAAGTTGTTTAGAATGAAATCTACATCTAGAAGTCTTTCTCGACATTTACCATGCCACATATGATTATTTGTGCCATGTGGCAATAGAAAAGAGGAATAGAAGAACCATTGGAGATGCTCTAAAAGAATTAGACCTCAATTATTATGTGTGTCCGTCCTCTTAATCCTTATAGATGCCCTGTCTTCATAATCCGACTACCATTATGTGCATTCATATTTAATATATACTAGTACAACACCCGTGTATTAACGGGTGCTTGCTAATTTTTTTCTTAAAATCGAAAATTAATGAGAAAAGTAGTTTGAAAATTTAAATACCTTTTATAAGAATATATACTATTATATATTTATTATGACACTTTTTATTAGTGCGACTTACTTGTGTTATATTATACTAATTTTTTTAACTTACAATATATAACTACATTAAATATAAATATATCAATTGAGAAATAATTGATCTTTGCTCTACTCAGGCCTTAGCACAGGTTGACTTTTAGCTATAACAAGAATAGCCTTACTTGAAAGCTTGGTTGACACGAGCACAACTTTCGACGGAGTGGAATTCTGCTTCGGAAAATGGAGTTCAAAAGCCCTGTCTCTTTTTTTTTTA